ACTCCCAATAATTTGGTTTTGGTCTCTACTGAAAATGTAATTAGGGGGCATTATCTACTCCTGAATAGGTGATTTCAAATGCCCCTTCCCAGTCTTTACTGACATCCAGAGTCTCCTATTCAATTTGTTACGGCAAATCACACTCTAAGGGATGGTTGGTTTTTTTTTTTTTTTAAGATTTTATTTATTTATTTGACACAGAGAGAGATCACAAGTAGGCAGAGAGGCAGGCAGGGAAGGGGGCGGGGAGCAGGCTCCCTGCTGAGCAGAGCAACTGATGTGGGGCTCGATCCCAGGACCCTGAGATCATGACCTGAGCCGAAGGCAGAGGCTTAATCCACTGAGACACCCAGGCACCCCTTTATTTTTTTGCGTAATAAATTTTTTTTTAAAGATTTTATTTACTTATTTGACATAGAGGGAGAGAGAAAGCACAAGCAAGGGGAGCAGCAGAGGGAGAGGGAGAAGCAGGCTCCCTGCACCAATGTAGGACTCAATTCTAGGACCCTGGGATCATGACCTAAGCCAAAGGCAGATGCTCAACTGACTGAGGAACCCAGGTGCCCCATGTTTAATAATTTTTTTAAAAATTTAGTTACTCGACCAGTAGAACATTAATACAGTTCCACGTAAAAGCAGAAAAAGTCACCCACAATGCCACTACTTTATTTGTTTAAGATTTTATTTTTTTATTTGACAGAGGGAGACACAATAAGAGAGGGAACACAAGCAGGGGGAGTGGGAGAGGCTAGAAGCAGGCTTCCTGCAGAGCAGAGAGCCCAATGCGGGGCTCGATCCCAGGATCCTGAAATCACGACCTGAGTCAAAGGCAGAAGCTTAATGACCACCCAGACGGCCCCCCCAAAGCCACTACTTTAAAAAAAGATGAACATTTCTTTCTTTCTTTCTTTTTTAAGATTTTATTTATTTATTTGAGAGAGAGAGAATGAGAGAAAGTATGAGTGGAGAAAGGTCAGGGAGAGAAGCAGACTCCCTGCCAAGCAGGGAGCCAGACTCCAGGATCATGACCTAAGTTGAAGGCAGTTGCTTAACCAACTGAGCCACCCAGGCGCCCAAAGATGAGCATTTCTTCAAAGTTATGTTTATAGGGCACCTCGCTCAATACATTATAGTTCATCTTGTGGAATGTTATGCAACATTTGAAAATGATGAGACATATCTATACATATGAAAAAAAACTCCCACAGTATCTATAAAGTGAAAATAGCATGATGTTCAACAACATATATAATGCAATACTATTTGTGTATTTTTATAAATATATTTCATGCTGGGATATGTATGCAAATTTTCTGAAAGGACATAAAAAACACACTCAACAGTGGTTACCTGTAGACTCTAGAAAAAGGGAATGACCGATATGAAAGAGGACTTTACTTTTCTATTTATACTTTTCTGGATTGGTGGATTTGTTTACCACAAAAATACTACCATCTAAAACAAAAGTTATGTTTGTGTACCATCAGTCTTCTGGAAATAAAACAATTAAATGTCTACACATGTAACATGTGAAGTTCACTAATTATGTAATTAACATTCAAAAGGAGTTTATTACATTTGGAAAGTATCTGAGGGTTAACGAGAAAGAGACAAAACATAAAACAGACTCTTTGGGAGCCTGGCTGGCTCACTCAGTGGAGCATGTGACTCTTAATCTCAGGGTTGTGTGTTTGAGCCCCACGTTGGGTGTGGAGATTACTTAAAAAAAAAAAAAAAAGAAACAGACTTTTTTTTAAAAGATTTTATTTATTTGACAGAGAGAGATCATAAGTAGGCAGAGAGAGAGGGGGAAGCAGGCTCCCCGCTGAGCAGAGAGCCTGATGCAGGCCTCGATCCCAGGACCCCGAGATCATGACCTGAGCTGAAGGCAGAGGTTTAACCCACTGAGCCACCCAGGCACCCCTAGAATTTTTTTTTTAAGATTTTATTTATTTATTTGACAGACAGAGATCACAAGTAGGCAGAGAGAGGGGGAAGCAGGCTCCCTGCTGAGCAGAGAGCCCAATGCGAGGCTCGATTCTAGGACCCTGAGATCATGACCTGAGCTGAAGGCAGAGGCTTAACCCACTGAGCCACCCAGGCACCCCATGAAACGGATTTTTAACTACAGAGAACAAACCGATGGTTTGTTCTGGAGTGGAGGTGGGTGGGGGGTGGGTAAAACAGATGATGGGAATTAAGGGGAGCACTTGTAATGAGTACAGGTGATGTGTGGAAGTGTTGAGTCACTATACTGTACACCTGAAACTAAGATAGCACTGCATGTTAAGAAAAAAAAAAAAAAAAAAGAACAGTATTTGAAGGTTAAATTTTATTTCATTCTATACAAATTCACAAGATATGGTAATTCTTGAGAAGTGATAACCAAACACATATTAAACATTACTTGTTCATAACTTAATAATTTCAAAAGATAAATTATATAAAATTCTGTTAACATTTTTTTAAGATTTTTTTTTAAGATTTTATTTATTTATTTGACAGAGAGAGATCACAAGTAGGTAGAGAGGCAGGCAGAGAGAGAGGAAGGGAAGCAGGCTCCCTGCTGAGCAGAGAGCCCGATGTGGGGCTCGATCCCAGGACCCTGGGATCATGACCTGAGCCGAAGGCAGAGGCTTTAACCACTGAGCCACCCAGGCGCCCCCTCTGTTAACATTTTTATAGTGAATTTTGATATCTGATTTGGAATGTGATTGGATATTTTAATATATATTTGGATACTACAAAGATCTCAGAAAGGAGCCTAGAGCACGAGAGGCTCTTAAATTGGACCTGGGTAGCAGAACAGTCCAAATTGTGTAAATCATCAATCTGCATTGAATTCTACCTTCATACTGCCCTCCCTCCTTACCTTGGCTTTGGAACCCACAGCCATCCTTTGAGGAGGGCAGGGGACATTGCTTCTAGAAAGCAGTAGCATGTCTGCTGATAAACCAGGGAAGGTCTGCTTTTCTTTCCATCTTCTTTAAGAAAGATACCTTTTATAAAAGGTGAATTTTATGGTATGTGAATTACAGCTCATTGAAAAAAAGAAAGATAGGGACACTTGGGTGGCTCCGTTGGTAAAGCATCTGCCTTGGGCTCAGGTCATAATCCCGAGGTTCTGGGATGTCCAGCATCAGGCTCCTTGCTCAGTGGGGAGTCTGCTTCTCCTTCTGCCTGCTGCTCTGCCTGCTTGTGCTTTCTCTATGTCTCTGTTGAACAACTAAATAAAATCTTTAAAAAAAAAAAGAAAGAAAGATAATTTTCATGCTGGAAGGGGAAGAACAAACAGGTGAGAAATTTGAAGTTCCACTGAGGTGAGATAAGAGATACTCCGCCACTTTTAACAAAGCCAAGATTTCTAGTCCCAAATACTGAAAGATGGTGAAAGAAATCGCCAGTGTGATGACAAATCACCAATGAAAACCTAAAAACTATTTTGACAGTGGGAGAAGTGTCAGAAGGTGAGATGTATTGATTTTTAAGTGTGAATAAGGACTTCTTTTAAACATAGAGGATTGGTCAAAACTGTTGAGTTTAAAGTAGTTGCCTATCTAGACAGTAAGACTAGGGAATAGAGCAGGGTTATTATTATTTTTTTCATTTTAAGTATTCGGTACTATTTTAAAATTACCTCCATATAATATAATAACTAAATTTATTCCAAAAAAATGTTTGTGTGTGTATGTGTGTAGAAAAAATGAGATCCTAAAAACCACAGTCTGAAAATCGTCAGTAATCCCTGGGAGATTTTGGTATGGATTACTATAAGATGTTTTAAGAGCACTTAAAGGAATTGGGGCGCCTGGATGGTGCAGTTGGTCAAGCACCCAGCTCTTGGTTTCAGCTCAGGTCATGATCTAAGGGTCATGAGATGGAGCCCTCATTGGGCTCTGCGCTCAGCATGGAGTCTGCTTGAGATTCTCTCTCTCTCTCTCTCTGTCCCCTGCCCTGACCCCCGGCTCATGTTCTTGATCTCTCTCAAATAAATTAAGAAATCTTAAAAAAAAAAAAAAAAAAGAGCACTTAAAGTAATTGACTAGACACCAACATGGATCCACTAAGGGCAAATTCATTCATTAAACAAATATTTATTGTGCACCTCCTTGGTCCTAGTTACTGGGCAAGGCACTCAGGATGAAGCAGAAAACAAAACAGGTATGTTCCTGCCCCTTGTGGGACTCTACTAAGGAAGACAAATAACAACAAAAATTATAGCATAATTGCAACTTGTGATAAGTGCTACGAAAGAAAACATAGGGATTTGTGTGAGCGCATAATTAGAGGAACTAGCCTCACTGCAGGAGGGGGCAATGCTAGAGAAATACTCTGTGTAGAGGCAGCATGTAATCAGAGCCCTGAAGGATGAATAGGATGTAGATGGGCAGAGTTTAGGGAGTGCTGCAGAGACAACCCAAAAACCACATGTGAAAAATGCATGAGGCAGCAATAAACTTGGCATGCTAGAGGGACGGAGAAAAAGCTGACATGGCTAAAACATTCAACAGGTGAGTACAAGAGTGAGACTACCCAACTAAGGGCCATACCACACAGGCTAGTTCTTTTTTTATTTTTTTAAGATTTTATTTATTTATTTGACACAGAGAGAGCATAGGCAGGAGGAGCAGCAAGGGAGAGTCTTGAAGCAGGCTCCCTGCTGAGCAGGGAGCATGATACAGGATTCGATCCCAGGACCCTGGGATCATGACCTGAGCAGACAGCAGATGCTTAATCAACGAGCCACCCAGGTGCCAATGCTTTTTCTTTTCCCCCCAAGTTTTTATTTATTGAAGTAATATCTACACCCAACATGGGGCTTGAACTCATAACCCTGACATCAAAAGTCACACACTCTTCCAACTAAGCCAGCCAGGCGCCCCATGGCTATTTCCTTTCTTGAAATGATGACTGGACAGGTAATTTAAAGAAATACAAAGACACACTAAATCTATTTCTAGAAATCTATTTCTTTGATCAAAGCGCTTGGGAAGAACCACGGTTATCAGTTTTATAACCAAATTCGGTCCCAAATCTACCCACTTCTTCCTTAACTTCTGCTCCCCCCTAGATGAGGCCACTGCCATCTCTTTTCCAAGGCCACTGTTTTCACTTTTACCTTCCACAATCCATTCTCTGTACAGCAGCTGGAGTGATCTAAAAACAAAATCAGACCATCTGAATTCTTTTTTTTTTTTTTAAGATTTTATTTATTTATTTGACAGAGATCCCAAGTAGGCAGAGAGGCAGGCAGAGAGAGAGAGGAGGAATTAGGCTCCCTGCTGAACAGAGAGCCCGATGGGGCCTCGATCCCAGGACCCCGGGGTCATGACCTGAGCAGAAGACAGAGGCCTTAACCCACTGAGCCACGCAGGTGCCCCAGACCATTTGAATTCTTTGCGTAAAATCCTTCAGTGACTCCCCATTTGTAACTGACTGAGTTTTCCACAGATATGGAGACCAAGTCTGCGATCTGAGATGTTTATCAGGGTTTGACACCTCTGAAAGGAAAGGAAAGGAAGCAGGACTGAGCAGAGGAAGAAATCAGTGACACATGGCCCAGTAGAGCTTGGGCCAGCCCATCAGGGAGCTCTGCACTGAGTACTGTTGGTCACAATTGCCCGGTGCCAGATCAAAAGGAGTGAGCATTTATATCCACGCCCACTCAAAGATGTGGTCTGCTCTAAGCGGAGTATGTCCTCAGGCAGCAAGACTCTGAGAGCTGCCATCTCCAGGCTGTCTGCTGACCACACTCTTCATTTCTAGGCACCAAGCACTTCTTTAAAAGTATATCTGGGTGTTGTATCTTCTTATCCGTCTCATCATTACAGTTAGACATTTAGGACTTTAAAACTGGAAATGATCTGGTTCCTATCTACCTCTCCTCAACTTGCTTCCATTCACAATTGGCTCTAGGTACACTAGCCTTCCTGTTTCTTGAAGCTTATCTCCTCCTCAGGGCTTTTGTACTTGTTTATGTCCTTGCCTGGCTGTTACTAGTCCCAGTTTTCATGCAACTAGCTCCACAAGTTGTCTGCCTCCCTTCTCAGCACTCCTTATTGTGTTGCCCTGTTTCAGTTTCCTCATGCACTTGGCTAAAATTATCTAAATTATTTGCTTTTAGTGTACATTTGTCTCATCGGCTAGAATGTAAATTCCATGGTCTCTCTGGTTCACGGCTTCATCCCCAGTCAGTACGTAGAACATAGTACACCTTCAGTAAATTTTGTTTCCGCGAAACGACACTACAGACAGCTACCATGTTAGTGAATTGAAGAACTTGCCCAAATACTATTTATTAGTGTATTAAGGCTAACCTGAAGGGAGATCTCTAATTGTTTGACACAAATCTGCCTGGTCCTGTCAAATGGGTAAATGTCCATGATTTGCATGTAGACAAAAATGGTATGATCACTGCGGTGCCTGGGTGACTCAGTCGACTAAGCGCCTGCCCTCAGCTCAGGCCATGATCTCAGGGTCCTGGGTTTAAGACCCCCACATCGGGCTCCCTGTTCAGTGGGAGCAGTCATGCTCTCTTTCTCTTTCTCTCTCACTCTGCTGGTTCATGTTCTCCTCTCACTCACTCTCTCTCTCAAATAAATAAATAAAATCTTTAAAAATAAGTGAATGAATGAATGAATGGTGTGATCTTCCAAATTTCTGATGATACAAAGCTGGGAGAGTATTGGTGGCTAATATACTGGATGACAGGTTTCAGATTCAAAAGGACCTGAAAGCCCATCAAAAACAGAATGGGTGGGAGCCTTCGTGGCTCAGTCGGTTAAGTATCTGCCTTTGGCTCAGGTCATGATCCTGGGGTCCCAGGATCGAGTCCCACGTTGGGCTCCCTGCTCAGTGGGGAGCCTGCTTCTCCCTCTTCCTCTGCCTGCTGCTTCCCCCTGCTTGTGCGTGTGCTCTCTTTCTGACAAATGAATAAATAAAATATTAAAAAAAACCAGAATGGGTTATTAATTGTAGTATATTATTCATACAATGAACTATTGTGCAGCAATGAAAATGAGTGAACCACTGATATCTGCTACATGGAGAAACCTCACTAAGGTAGTGCTGAGGGAAAGAAATCAGACACACACCAAAGAGTGTATACTGCATGATTCTCTTTCTACATACTTCAAAACCAAGCAAAACTATTCTGTGGTCTCTTGAGGAAGGAGGAAGAGGGCAATGATTAGGAGGGGGCATGAGGAAGACTTTTGAGATGTTGCTAATGTCAATTTCTTGACCTAAATGGTGGTTATACGATGTGTTTATTTTGTAAGGATTCATTGATCTGTGCCCTTATGATTTGTCCTCATTTTTCTATATACGTTGTACATCAATTTTAAAGTTAAGAGTCAAAAAGACCTGGTTAGGTAAATTTATTTATTTATTTATTTATTTAAAGATATTATTTATTTATTTATTTGACAGAGAGAGAGAGAGGGAGATCACAAGTAGGCAGAGAGGCAGGCAGAGAGAGAGGGGGAAGCAGGCTCCCAACTGAGCAGAGAGCCTGATGCAGGGCTTGATCCCAGGACACTGAGATCATAACCCGAACCAAAGGCAGAAGCTTAACCCACTGAGCCACCCAGGCACCCGAGTTAGGTATATTTAATTAAAAGCTTAAGGTGCAATACCTGGTTTTAAATGAAAAAGGTTTTTTTTTTTTTGGTGGGTTTTTTTTTTTTTTTTTAAAGATTGTATTTATATACTTGAGAGAGAGCGAGAGTGGGGGAAAGGGGCAAAGAGAGAGAGAGAAGCAGACACACTGCTGAGCAGGGAGCCTGATTCGGGGCTCAACCCCAGGACCCCAGGGCCATGATCTGAGCAGAAGGCAGACACTTAACTAACTGAGCCACCCGGGCACCCCTAAAGGAAAGAGTTTTACTATTTTGCCAGTTAGGATTATAACTGCTGTTGATTTGGAGTACATAATTTTTATTAGATTTAAGTAGTTTCCTTTGATCTCTTGTTTCACAGGGTTTTATTAGAATGACTTCTATAATACCTGTTGCTGCAGGGATGTAGGATATAGAGCATTTTCATGTGCTGCTATGGAAATACAAAGTATTAAAGGCTTTTTGAAAAGCAATCTGGCAATAGCTATTATTTAAAAATATATATACCCCTTGCTGGCTGGCTCAGTTGGTAGAGCCTGCAACTCTTGATCTCGGGGTTATGAGTTCAAGTCCTCCAGTGGGTATACGGATTACTTAAAAATAAAATCTTTAAAAATATATATACCCCTTGACCCACCAACCTCAGTTCTGGGAATCTATCCTACTAAAGTAAACCACTAGTTGCAAGAAAACTATTTAAGTAAGAACATAGTACATATATACAGACATACATACATAGTACATATGTACCAGGTTATTTATTAAAGCAATATTTTCTATGTCAACTTACATATACACACATGCACACACATCCACATTATAAATACCATGCATGCCCATCAATAGGGGAATGGTTGCAAAAATTATAGTACACCCACAATTTAGGACGTCCATTAAAAGGAATGAATTTGATTTAGAGAGATTTTATATAAGAAATTGTTTTTTATTTTAAAGATTTTATTTATTTATTTGACAGAGATCACAAGTAGGCAGAGAGGCAGGCAGAGAGAGAGAGGGAGAAGCAGGCTGCCTGCTGAGCAGAGAGCCCGATGCGGGGCTTGATCCCAGGACCCTGAGATCATGACCTGAGCCGAAGGCAGAGGCTTTAACCCACTGAGCCACCCAGGCACCCCAAGAAATTGTTTTAAGTAAAAGTGAGAGGCAAAAATGTAGTCACTTCTTAAATTACAAAGAAAATCTATATTGAATATGTGTACATTTGTATGTGTCTATACGATTACAGGAGCGTGAAGAGAAATGTTAACTAGGTTGAAAAAATCGTGACGGAGGGGTAAGAGCTGTTAGGGTGACAAAGGAGGAGGGGCAAAGAGGGAGTCAAGTTGAAAAAATGAAATAAGAGCCAAAGGATATTTTGAAAGCTCCTATAAGAGTCATGTAACAGGAGGTAAAAAATCAAATGACGTCTTAGGGACATTAATAGATTGTACTGTGTCCAAATCAAAGGATGTAATAATTACAGTGTTCAGATCAAATCTAGCATATTGTATCAATTTCTGGACACCATGTTAAAAACAAATATGTCTCTCACCCCTCACAAAAATTGTTTTTCTTGTTATAAGGGAATGGTCAATAATTAGGCAAACCTGGATTCCAACCTCTTTTTAGTCACTTACTTTGTGATCGTGGCAAATTATTTAATCCCTCTGTGTCTTACTTTCTTCATCTGTACAATGGGGACAATTATAGGTCCTATCACTCAGGGTTACTGCAGGATAATTATATATGCATTCCAGGACTGGCATCTAGAACAAATCCAATAAAAATAATTCATGTTGTCAGTTATTAAAGTAAATATTTATTGTGAAAATTAGAATTTACACACAAGCAAGAAATTTTTAAAACAACCACAGTCTTACCTTCCCAAGTTAACTACTATTAACTTGTGGGTGTTTATTCACTATTCAGCATGATTTGAAAAAACATTATGAGTGATGGCATTTAGCTAGGATAAATTAGCAGCCAACTGATGTGTGAAGGGTTGTCCTATGGAGGAGGGGTAGACATATTCTGTTGAAGTCGCAAAGAACCACAGCAAGCAGCAAGAGTTATGATGAGAGATGTCCAGCAATGAAATGGGATTCCCAACACCATGGGGAGCTTATCTTTATAATTAATAATCGAGTCTTGGCTGGTGACCATTTGCCAGAAAAGTTATGGAAGAAATGCCGGTGTTGGAAGACAGGTCAAGCTAAAAGACTTCTAAAACTCTTTCTAACTCCAACATATGATCAAGAAATACTTGCTGAAGGAATACACATACTAGATTCACAGCCCTCATAAAACAGTTTGTGTGGTTCTTACCTAATACTGGGTGGTAAGGACAGTTCTAAGTTCCCATGAAAGTGAATAGGAAATTCCTAGCGTAGGTCAGGCAGGGGAACTCTCCCTCATACCCCACTGAGGACGTGCAATTCCACCAATTAATCACATTCAAATGGAGAAAGAAATCAAAGGAGGGGCAGGCCTGGAAAGAGTCATAGCTTATCTTCAGGTACTATTTGTCTGCTTTCTTAATACTCTGGGTCTCTTCCTGGGAACAGTTTCTGACCTGGCAAAATTTCATAGTAATTACTCAGGGGAAAGGAAACAACAAACAAAAAATACATTAATGTGGGTGGGTAAAAAAAAAAAAAATTTTTAAGAACGTGGTGTTGGTGGGAGAGAAGACTAAAGGTCTATGTAAGACCCACCCAAATGCTTTTGATGTTTGAGCAATTATTATCTTATTATTTTTCCTGCTATAGATGCAGCTGCGATTTATGTAACAGGATGTTTAAAAAGATTAAAGAGAAGCTGTAGTAGGGTTTTGAGGTGATAAGAGTTGCTGGAATATGTATTTGTGGACGTTTAGAATATAAGTTCCTGTACATTCTTAGAATAAACCATCTATTTGTTTTTCTTTTTTTTTTTCAAAGAAACAAGTAAAATTTGTATTTCAAGATGGCTGCTTCCTGCCCACAAGTGATATAGAAATAACAGAGTAAAGAGAGCAAACAAACAATAAAGCAAAGAGAAGCTCGTAGTGGTTCAATCTGTTATCTTTGCTGTTTCTTAATCAGCTTTGACTTTTAGGTCCAAAATATTTTATCTCTATATTAAGATAAGTGTTTGGAATTTGTTTGGATTAATCCTGTTCATCTCCTGCTCAAGCAGGAGAGTTGCATGGAATTTGCGACTGAAATAACTCAATCTGAATATGAAAATTAAAGAAAGAAATAATCTGGGCACCTGGGTGGCTCGGTTGGTTAAGTGTTTGCCTTCAGGTCTGGTCGTGATCTCAGGGTCCTGGGATCAAGCTCCCTGCTCCATAGCTCCCTCCCCTTGCTTATGCTCTCTCTTTCTCTCTCAAATACATAAATAAAATCTTAAAAAAAAAATAATTTTTGGTAGAAGAGCTTGTTGTATTGAAGTTGAGGTGAGTTAAATTGATTGGGTTAGGAGAGTGTTCTAGAGGTGTCTCAAACACAGAGGATGACTCACTGGTACTCAAGATTTTCTGCCATGTGGGCTGCTACCGTATCTTACATCATAAACTGGCACCAGGCACCAAATAAAAAGGGCTTTGAGGCATATTCTCAGAGTTTCTGACTAGTCATGTAAAAAATGCTTGTTAGTTTCAATTCTTTCTCCTAGCAACCTAGGCCAATCTTGTGCATGCTTCTGTATTCTCTGCATTTATTTATATTTTTTTCTAAACTTTTTTTCTGTTTAAACTTTTAACTATTTAAATTTTTCCTGTTTTTTTGTTTTTTTCTGTTTTTCTAAACTATTTTTTGTTAAGTTGTAGACATGATGCCCTTTACCTCTAAGTACTTTAGTATGTATTTCCAAACAGGGGCATTCTCTTGCACAATCCTGGTATAATTATGCAAATTAAGAAGTCGGTATTGATTCGATAAAACTATCTAATCTATAGACCTATTCAAATTTTGCTCAGTTGTCTCAGTAATGCCCATTAGGGTAAAAGAAAATTCCAGACCATACATTGTTATCAAGATCAACATTCAGTTGTCAAGTATCTTTAGTCTTTTTTAATTTAGACTAGATTTTCCATACTTTTTCATGACCTTGACATATATGAAGAGTTATAGGCAAGTTGTTTGTAGAGTGTTTCTCAGCTTGGCTTGTCTGATGTTTCCTCATGATTAGATTCAGGTGAGGCATTCTTAGCAGAAATACCACAGAAGTGACGTTGTGATCTTCTCAGTATATAATAGTAGTTGATTTGTTCGTTACTATTGAAGTTACCTTTAATGACTTGGTTACATTTTTTCCACTTTAAAATTACTGCATTTTCCTTCATCATTAACAAGTGCCTTGTGGGGAGATACTTTGACACTATGTACATGTCTTGTCCCTCATCAAACTTCACCCACTAGTTTTAGCATGCATTGATGATTCTTGCCTGACTCAATTATTACTATGATGATTGCCAAATGGTGATTTCATAAGTCTTTCTTCCTTTTATATTTTTTAGTTGGTATTCTACTGTAAGGAAAAATGTGCCTTTCTCTATGATTTGTTTGGCTGTTTATACCAGTGGGACTCACAAAGACCTATTTTATTCAATGAGTTATAATCTGTTATTGACACTACTCATTATGATACTTACATTGTCCTTGACACATCTAGTGGGAATCTCTTCAAACTCTCCTTTTGACATGTCCCTAAAATTCTTTGAGTTTTCTAACTTTATTACACAATAAGATGGTCGAGGTTTTCCTAGTCTCCTAGCACCAATCTTGAAATCAGCCACTTTTCTAAGCTCTGGTTCTGTGAATGGAGAATAGTATTTAGGAGGACTTGGGTTCTAGGTGTGCTAATTTGCACTAGTGTGTCATTGCTGGTAGGTCCTCTCAGAAGACAACCTTCCCAACCCCCAACACACACCCACACACACACTTAGAGATTTTTCCAATTCCTGTCCAACACTGCAGATTCATCCCAGCCTTCCCCCTTTCTAAACATTTATAACTCCCTTCTCTGACAGTGAGAAATCTGTGGAACCACAGTCCCAGCTACTACATTTAACCACTCCTACAGGCACTCTTTCTTTTCTACTTCACTTCAGTGCAATCTCCTGTCATCCTTAAGCCAAAATGTTTACACACACTGATACTAGGGCCAAAGCACCAGAAGCGTGGATGTCTTTGCTATGTCACCAGTACTCCCTAAAGTATGACGTCACCCCTGCTTCTTTGGGGGCCCTAATGTTGACCATTTCAGCCTCTGAACGCTTGCAATAGAAATTCCACTTGGAAAAAGCACTCTTCACCCCAAATTTCCTCCACACAGTGACACACTCAACCTGGAAGGGTTGTTTTAAGGTCCCGATGACTCAGAGATTTTATGGAAATGACTCTTTTGGGTTTTATAGGCCCTTTATTTTAGTTCCCTTTCCCTAGGATTCAAACATGAGTCTGGTCTGTGCCTAGAATCACTCCTCTCTTGTGGTTTACCCTGTCCTGTGGTCCTCTCTTCCGTTAGAATGAGCTCTTTTTTACTTTCTTTCTTTCTTTTTTTTTTTTTTTAAGATTTTATCCATTTACTTGACAGACAGAGATCACAAGTAGGCAGAGAGGCAGGCAGAGAGATGGGTGGGGGTGAGCAGGCTCCCTGCTGAGCAGAAAGCCCAAGGTGGGGCTGGATCCCAGGACCCTGGGATCATGACCTGAACTGAAGGCAGAGGCTTAAACCATTGAGCCACCCAGGTGCCCCAGAATGAGCTCTTTCTTAATCCTTCACATATATGGAACCTCGGCGGCCAGGTCCTCCAGACACGTCTGAATGTAAGAATGTGTCAGCTTAAATTCTCAAAACAACCTCATCACATTTGTGATGCTCTTAAAATGACCAGCATTAGTAGTCTAATTCAGAAACTCTCTTGAAGACTGAGGATTATACCACGGAAGCAGTGCAGAAATCCAAGGATTGAAGTCACATCACCAGGATCTTATCCAAGGAAAAGAACTCCCTCATGATTCTCCTGGCTGGTAGAGACAGAAGGAAGCCTGAGAGCTTTCAGTCTGAAGACTGCCCGGGGCCACGTTTGATCACAATGACCCTATTGTCCTGCAGGCCTCTTAAAACACCATCATCAGGATGTGGATGGTTAAATTGTTTTTCTAACAGTGCTAACAGACACCTAATCTATCATCCCCTGATTTCTCTTGTTTTCAACTGCATGCCTCTGGAGGACGACTGCCCAGGTTAGCAAAGTAGTCTGTGGCAATGAGACTGAAAGATATTAACTAGTTTGTGCCAAGAATAAGCCCAAGAGTTAATGACCTTAATGTCGTCATACCTTTCCGTATCTACTGAGCTGACTAGTCACAGACTGGTTACATTTGACCATTTTATTACTAAGTAGGTATTTAACAACATGCAATTACCTTACTCGAGTTGAGATAAAATCTCCTGATTACATGAATGAGATAATTCCAAATTAAAGCTAGAGTCTATTAAATCTTCAGTATTACAAACATTAACAATAGGGATTCTACTGTGGTTACTGAAATTGTTTCTTTTACTAGATGTGGCTTCCTCTCTACGATTAACTGTGAAGTCTGTTCTGCTAGTCTTCTGCTTGTTTTATGGGTTTCTGATGTAGTTGTTTTCTACAGGTGTCCATGGGACAGGTGGGTTTAGGATCCTCCTACTCTTCCATCTTTCCGGAAGTTTTATGTCCTTTGCTAGACTGTAAGCTTCATGAGGGCAGGAAGCTTTGTTTTGCTCATTGCTCTACTCCCAGCTCCGACTGTGCCCAAATCATAGCAGAGCTCAGTATGTTTGCTGAACACATGAAAATGTATGGTGGCACACAAGAGGAAATGAAAAAGTATTAAACTAAATCCTGAAAGAATTGCTGCCCAGTTATCAGTATTCTGAATAACATCAGTGAGAAGGCTAAGGAGGAACTTGGAAAACAGCTACTATTAATGTGGCCCAAAGAATAAAACCTCCCCTCCGTCTCCAGTAGTTCAAAGGTTGGGGGAGAGGTGAAGTCTTGCTGAGGACTTACCTAGATCCTTTAAGGAGTATTCAAAGCCTCTGCCTTCCGCTCAGGTCATGATCTCAGGGTCCTGGGCTCGAGCCCCACATCGGGCTCTCTGCTTGGCAGGAGCCTGCTTCCCCCTTTCTCTCTCTCTAACTGCCTCTCTGCCCACTTGTGATCTCTGCCAAATAAATAAATAAAATCTTAAAAACAAAACAAAACAAAACAAAAAAACACTTCACAAGGTTTGCGAATGGCCTATTATCACTTGGAGGTCCAAGCGGCAAGGTTTAAAAGCAGGACAGAGGAGAGATATTTACATATTATAGGGTAATTAGCAAAAATGTGTATCTCCTTGTGGGTTTAGATGCAGGGAACTCAAACCCAAACATTTTCAAAGGCCAGGCCAGTATATAAATGGGTGATGCAGTTGGATGTAAATAATTGTGAAGAGTAGAGACTGGGGTAAAATGGGAATTGCCTCCCCCTTAAAAATCATTTAAAGTGGTTCCTGGGTGGCTCACTCATTAAGTGTCTGCCTTGGGCTCAGGTCATGATCCCAGGGTCCTGTGTTGTTTGAGCCCCCGCATCAGGCTCTCTCCTCGGCAGGAAGCCTGCTTCTTCCTTTCCCACTCCCCCTGCTTGTGTTCCCTTTCTCACTGTCTCTCTCTTTGTCAAATAAATCAATCTTAAAAAAAAAAAATTTAAAGACCATAAAAACAACATTAGGCAGATCAGATATATCTTTAGCAAGAACTCGCGTTGGCAGTTTGAGGGTTTTAGGTTTTATATTGTCTCTGTGATTTAACATTTGCCCTTGAAAGGTGTGCATGTGTTTGTGTTCCAACAGTTACTGGCTAGGCAATTTTATTTTATTTTTATTTTTTTTTAAGATTTCATTTATTTATTTGTCAGAGAAAGAGAGATAGCATGCACAAGCAGGCAGAGAGGCAGGCAGAGGCAGAGAGAGAAGCAGACCCCCCGCTGAGCAAGGAGCCAGATGTGAGACTCGATCCCAGGAACTAGGATCATGACCTGAGCCCAAGGCAGCGGCTCAACCCACTGAGCCACTCAGGCGTCCCTGGCTAGGCAATTTTAATAAAGAGGCATATTTGATAGTCACAGCAGTGAAGAGACAAACAGGGATCACACTGGGAGGTTTCATGCGCCCATCTGGATTCTTCTGTAGGGCTGCAGCACCTAACAACCATGACTGGTTGATCTGTAGAGTTGTCTAAAGTATTTGGGTTGTTTTGACTGAATGACAGACTTGAAGAATGAACTACAGGGACAGTTCCTGGGATGAGACCAACTACACAGGAAATGGCTAGAGCTTGCCAAAGATATGCAGGCAGCCAAATAGCAGAGGTTAGGAAATGGCGGGGCTCTTAGATTTGAAGGTAGGGTAGAAAGATTATAGACTGAGTTATCTACAACACAATCTCCTGGCAAAGGTGTAATGTTTTGTTCACTTTCCTGGAATGATTATAAAAGTTAGGGGTACCTGGATGGCTCAGTTGGTTAAGCGTCCAACTCTTGATTTTGGCCTGGGTCATGATCTTGGGGTTGTAGGATCAAGCCCTATGTTAAGCCCCGAGTCAGGCTTTGCAGTCAGTGGGGAGTCTGCTTGAGATTCTCTTTCCCTTTCCTTCTGCCCCTCCCCCACTCTTTCTCTCTCTCTCAAATGCATAAATAAATCTTTGAAAAAATAAAGGTTATTTAGCTGGTAACTCCCATTGATACACTAAAACTAGGAATGTACAAAAAATGTATATATAACTTGATCAATTAGTATCACTGATCTCATTTTGTTTTCCAACCTCTGACTTTCTCTTATGGTGTGGGGGAGGTCAGAGCACTTAATTTTGCTACCTTCCCTAGGGTTTACTAGGTTGAAACCAGAGTGACATGAGAAATTCAAGAGTAGAATATGGACTTCCGTCTTGAAGCACCCATATATGTGGCCAGGAGTCTTAGTTTCTAATTAATGATATTAAGTGGAAGTCTTGATGGGATTACCAGGAAGGCAGTTTAAATAGAGCTCCTACAGATCAAACGCACTGTGAGTTGGGTGATTATAGCAGATTTTGCATTCAGTTAAATTATTTTTTTCTCTTTCTCACTGTGATTTTCTTAACTTATTCCAACCATTTCCTAAGTCTAATAGGCCTATTCTACTTTGTGTGATGGAGGTGTGGAGGATAAAGGGATGAAACAGTAAACAGAAGTGTGCCCTGCCTCATATTTACTCTTATGCTGCACCCATCACAGGGAACAACATCCTACAAGAGAACTGTATGCAGGAGTTGGGGGCACTGATCTACAGTTACAGGAGTGGTGGCCCATAATGGAACAAATAGCTGGTGAGGAGCAGATGATGCAGTGGGCACCTGGGAAGAGCATGTGATTCCCAAATTAGGAGGAGGACACAGACAAGAACCAATAATCCTCTCCTTCCTCCACTTACACTAGAGTATGGAGGTCAGGATAATTCAAGCAGTAATTTATGTTATACCCTATGCTTTTGGTGTGCCTTAAAATCATACAGGGGATATGACTTGTTATTACCTTGGTAAGATGTCACAGAGGGTAGAAGATAACCATTTGTATTTCAACAGTTTTCCTTTGGTCTAGAACACGTCAACATTAATAAAAAGAAACCTCACTAAGTGGACATGGGAGTCTAGATTGGGAGGCTGGAAGGGGGAGCCCTACATTAATTACAGGAAGAATTGTTGATTATAGACCCGAAAAGAAGAATCAACAGGAAAGAATCATCAGTTACAGGTTCCAACAAGGAAGGGCATGCACTGCATCTCATTAAAAAAATCAAGTATCACAGCAACCCGGTTAATGAGAAAGCATTATCACCCTGAACTCTTGCTTTCCTTCAATGGACTTTCATTCAAAACAACCCCTCCCAACCTTTTTCTCCATAAAATAAGGTTCCTCTCTTTTGTTTGCTGGATTTTCCTATGGTTTTGTCATAGCTTGTGTGTCTCAAATTGCAATTCTCCCTTATTCCCAAATAAACCCATTTTGCTGGTAAAAAAAACTAAGTTTAGTCTTAAGGTTAACAAACAGCTTTTCATACCATTATTTTTAACAGAGACTATGAGACTACAGCTAAAATAATCATATTTTACAAACTGAAAATTTTCTTAACTTTATAATCTAAGGAGTAAAGGACTTCTGTGAGAAGATACATAAAATCTGGACTTGCCCTGAAATTTTAGGACATATGGTTGCCACAACTAAAACACAAGGGCAAATGCATGGACATGTAATTACCTTAATACTCTTGAAAGAGTAATTATTTTTGGCCTTTCTTCACTTAGAGCTTCATTAATTAAGGATTAAGTTCATTTTTCTATCTCTTAAATGTTAAAAGGTAAAGGGAAGGGCCAGGCTGGCTACTTTTTCAGTTCTGGGTGGTTTTTAGAAGCAGTTTGAGAATCTACAGTGGGGTCAATACAGAGCCATGGGAGTGAGAGAGTTTCTGTTACTTTTTTCCTCTTGCTTTTTAATCATTAAAAATTCTTCAAGAGGTTATTTGCCGAGTAAAGACCAACCCTGTTGAAAGTTGTTGCAAGGTTTCCTAGACCTAAATGACCAACTGCTGAACATAGTATGTTCTGACTCCAAATATCAAAGATGAACATGCAAAATATTCTGAGAGGTGAAGTCACGTCCATGCTCTTGAAGGAGGCCAGCAAAGGTGGACAAAGCCGTCTGCTTTAAGGGTGAAGGCCATATTCCACTCTCAAATGTTTCTATTGTTTCAGCCTAGTGAACTTTTACCCACAAAAGTCTTTCTTTGAACAGTCTGATCAAAAACAAGGTCTTTAATTTTTTTTGTTGTTTGTTTACTTACAGCCAAACCTTTAGACAGAAGGCCAACTCTCAGTGGTCAGTTTCAAACAGGTTAACTTTGGCCTCCCTCAAGAGATTTTTAAAAATTCCACAATTTTCTGACAGATATGTGAATGATGCCAGTATGCTTAACTTTATCTGCTCTTCCCAAGTGTTTCCTCCCTTCCAGGGCACACCTGAGGGGAGTGGTATGGATTTAAGAGAACAACTTTAATGGACAATCTCTGTCCAGTCCTGTAAGGAGGAGTACAGTTGGTTAAGAGATGACCCATAGATCTGGGTTGGCATAGTTAGGTCTGCAGGTAGAAGGAGAGAGAGGATAAGGAACGTCAGTGCAGCCATATTAAGTGTTCTTGCTTTCAACCCTTCTCCTTGTGTATGGGAATGCATGTTTATCTACTGACTTTTCACATACGATGAAGAGTAAAGTTACAAGGGAAAAGCAATTGTGGACTTAAAAGTCTCATTTTTGTGCTTTAGGAATGTTACCCTCTGGGACTCCTGGGTGGTTCTGTCAGTTAAGTGTCTGCCTTTGGCTCAGGTCGTGATCCCAGTGTCCCGGGATGAGCCCCACATCAGGCTCCTTGCTCATCAGGGAGCCTGCTTCTCCCTCTGCCTGCCCCTCTCCCTGCTCATGCTCTCTCTGACAAATAAAAATCTAAAGAGAAAAAAAGAAAAGAAGAAGAATGTTACCCTCTTGGGCTTCCCTGAGAAAATGAGTAACATTCAGATGTATATTTTGTTCAAGTACTTCAGTACTTGAAGAACTATAAGAAAAGAATAAGCATTTTTTTTTTTTTTAAACAAAATGGATGATAGAACAAAGAGAAGAGTCTTCGTAAAACTGTGTTTGAAAACAGTCATTTAAACTTCCAATTCCTGGGCAACCTCCTCCGGTCCCCTCCCTCCTCGGGAGTTTTGTTCTATCATGTTGCTATCGCTCAATAAACCTTGCTCTTCTGCCCTCCAACCCCCCCCCAAAAAAACCCCAACTTCAAACTGCTAGTTAAGTATGCAGATTAATTGACTGATTTTTGCAATGCCACACTTACAGGTAGGTAATGTTTCCAAAATTCTCAAGTATTTGGGATATAGTCCAGGGACTAGATATCACTGAGTAAACAGCCATCAAAAAGTACATACATTTTGTTTCTTCAGAAGTTTAAGTGCCCTCACTCAGGCATTCAATTGTGTATAAAATAAAGAGATCAAGTACACTGACGAGAGATTCTAAGAGCAGACAGCAGAGTCCATTCAAATGATGTAG